GGAATATTACTCTTCTCTATATCAATCTGAATCCACAGTAAGCCCTACTGAACTATGTGCTTTTCTAGAGGGCCTGGCTGCTCCTCAAGTGGACCCAGCCTTGGCTGAACAGCTGGATATGCCCATTCAACTTGAAGAATCTCATCTGCCATTAAAAGCATGCATAATGGTCGGGCACCTGGCCCGGACGGCTTCTCAGTAGAATTCTATAAAGACCTGGTGGAAAAAATGTCACCACTGCTTCTTTCACTCTACAACGAATCCCTTGAACGAGGTACCTTGCCTCCTACACTTTCTCAAGCAGTTATTACTGTTCTTTTAAAGAAGGATAAGGACCCTACTTCTTGTTCATCATATAGACCTATTTCACTGCTTAATGTGGATGTAAAAGTTTTGGCCAAAGTGCTGGCGTGCCGCCTTGAAAAAATCCTTCCTTCAATTATCTCAGAAGAACAGAGAGGTTTCATTAAAGGCCGGCATTTGTTTTATAATGTTCGCACTCTTTTTAATGTTATCACATATCAACATTCCGCCACTGTTCCAGAGGTTGTAATCTCGCTTGACGCAGAAAAAGCGTTTGACCGTGTTGAGTGGCGCTACCTTTTTGCTGTGCTGAAGAAATTTGGTTTTGGTGAACGTTTCGTTTCGTGGATTCAGTTATTATATAATTCACCCCAGTCAAGTGTTCACACAAATGATGTCACTTCTGCTTATTTCACGCTATCTCGGGGAACAAGACAGGGATGCCCGTTGTCTCCTTTGCTGTTTGCTTTAGCTATTGAACCGTTATCAATTGCATTACGCTCGCTGGATCAGTTTAGGGGTATATCACGTTTGGGTATTGATTTGAAACTGTCACTTTATGCTGATGATTTGCTTCTATATGTATCCAGTCCCAAAACAAGTGTTCCACCGATATTATCATTTCTGAAAAGCTTTGGATCATTTTCAGGCTACAAAATAAATCTTCTTAAGAGTGAATGCTTCCCCATAAACACTTCAGCTTTAGCTCTCAAGCAGGAAGACATTCCATTTAAGCTCAGCTCTTCAGGATTCAAATATCTAGGCGTTAACGTGACACGCACACTTTCCTCACTGGTGGCTTCTAATTTTTCCCCTTTGATGAATCAAATTAAGTTGGACTTTCAACGTTGGAGCTCTTTACCTTTGTCACTTTTGGGACGAATTAATACAATAAAAATGAACATATTGCCACGCTTTCTCTTTCTTTTTCAATGCATTCCGGTCTTTTTGCCCAAATCATTTTTTTAAACTTTAGATAAACTTATAACCACTTTTTTATGGGAAGGAAAAACTCCAAGAGTGAAGAAAACTTTATTACAAAAGCTGACATTCAGTGGAGGCCTTTCTTTACCCAATTTTTTATACTATTATTGGTTTGCGCATATTCATAAATCAATTTACTGGCTCCAGTCACGGAATTTGCTTTGGTGCAGACTGGAACACCAGTCCTGTACCTCTTCCTCACTTGATGCGCTTTTTACTTCTTCGATTCCACTTAACCCCTCTCGCTACACAAAGAACCCAGTGGTTCTATCCACATTGAAGGTGTGGTCCCAGTACCGGAGCCACTTCAAGTTTATATCTGCATCAACAAAAATGCCTATCACAAACAATCATTTATTTCCTCCCGGTCTCACAGATGCTGCCTTTAACCAGTGGAAACAATCAGGCCTCAAAACGTTTAGAGACTAATATAAAGATGGCACTTTTTTGAGTTTCACCGACTTGTCCTCTGTAAATAAGCTCCCAGCTTCTCATCTGTTTCGATATTTTCAGATACGACATTGTTCAAGTTCTTTATTTTCAGAATATCCTTCACTCCCAGACCCCCAATCATGGGAAGAATTCTTATCGTTTAAACTACACCAAAAGTCAATTATGTCAATAATATATAGACACCTTATGGAAATAGATGTGCATTCGACAGATAAGAATAGAAGAAGTTGGGAGCAGGAAATTACATTACATTACATTAAAATTTTCAGAACAACAATGGGAGAATGCAATATCTATTGTCCGCTCAAGTACACCTTTCCATAAGACTGCAGCTCATTCAGTTTAAAGTATTATATAGGGTTCACTATTCTATATCATATCTATCAAAGATTTTTCCTCAGGTCATAGATCATGTGAGAGATGCCAGACAAGACCCTTGCAATTTGAGCCACATGATCTTTTTATGCCCAAAACTACATAAACTTCTGGAAGCAGTATGGGAATACTTTTCTAAGGCCCTTAAAATCAGAGTGGAAGT